CACATTTCAGATTTTTGCGTGGAAGAGTAGCATATTTCAGATTTTCGTGTAGAATAGTAGCGAATTCAAGCTCGGAACACTTTGACGACTGCAACTTCACGACGTAACGGCAGCGACATCATTTTGTCGACAAATGTCGCCTTGAAGCCAGCTTCTTAAACATTTTGAAGACCTCAGCGACATAGCAAACAGCGGATTTTAAACTTTGACATTTTGGTATATTTATTTCACAAATTGTGTATTTTTATGTAAGTAAATAAGAAAAACATGAACAATCAAGAATATGTGATTAATTTTGCGACAATTTAATTTGCAGCACTACATCTACTCATTGTCGCCGGCAAAATTAGAAATAGATTTAATTTGGCGACGTCGACAATTGCAGTCCTGCAGCCAAGATGTCGTGCTGTCGTCAAAATAATTGTGTCCGTAAGAACGTGTGTATTTAAAATTTGACAGATGCTGCTTGTCGCTTGCTGTCGTCAAAGTGTTCCGAGCTTGAGGCTGCTGGCTGCCCTTTCATTCATACATACATACATATGCATGTATGTACATAGCATACATAGCATACATGTATACATACATACATTTCTATGTTATTTCATATGTACTAAGTAAGTACGAAGCCCTTGCGCCCAACACTCTTTACCAGCTAGCAATTGAATGGATTTGCTGCCAGATAAATTGTAGTTGAGGCGCGGGTTAACTGCTATTAGCGATTTCTCTTAGTCACAATGCCATATATACGTATTACACTTCTGCCAAGATACCATTCAAACTCCAACTCCTCTTTTTTATTAAGCGGTGTTTTTGCTTTTCTTGTTTGTAATGCATATACGACTAACTGCTCGTTCGCCAACGCTGGGATGGCGCGTTAAAATGTCAGTCTGTTGGGGATTCTAATAAAAATGTATGTGCTAGTTATAGTCGCCACCAAATCAGCTAATGAATGGCAAGCGAACAAACACTGGCAGATTGTCACAAATCCGACAAAAAGACATTTCAACATGTTCGATGCACTTCATTAGCAAATTTTTGTGCTAAATGTTGATATATTCGAAAGTTTATGTGCGTGGCGCACAATTCAATTTTGAAGGCTACAGTTTTCGTATAAATATATATACATACATATGTGTATGTACGTACAATAGGGTGCAACACTCTACACTACAAAAAAATCGGTACTGGAAAATCGACATACCTTGAAAGATGAGAAGAGGTTATTTATATTTAACCCAACTACTTTAAAAAACTAATTCCGGTGGATTTTGTATGTTTTTTTCGAAGAACATAATTTTTGACAAAATTTTTTAAGGTAAAGGAGTAATTGTGGTTCAATGGCAGCGTGAAAGGGTATTACATTAGCTTACAAAACCATTTTGTTTCATATTAAAATATGCGCAAAAGTGATAAGAACATATAAAGAAACTGAATTAGATGGCATGGACTTGGACAATATGTGGTTTCTACAGACCTCTCAACGGACTTAACAGTCTCTGCAATATACGATCCCATAATTGGTTGCTCCGAAGACCAGGTAATAGTCAATTCATATAACACTACATTTGCCCAGAGCTGACATAAGTTCAAGCTTATTTTAGCGCAGCTTTGTTGTCATTGCTAGTTAACTACCTTCGGTATAGCAAAAACTTCTGACTGGAAAGTCGTTGCCATTGTATCCATGGGCGTAGCCAGGTAGTGGCAGGGGGGTGCTTGAGCCCCTCCCCCCCCTAACTTTCAAATAAAATAGTACCCTTAAATGCCAGCTTAATAGGGTCGAGCCCCCAAATTACATTCTGGCTACGCCGATGATTGTATCAAAAGCCGAAAAGCAGCTTAGCTAGCTACCCTCGAGATGCCATACGGTGTAGTTCAATTTTTTGACAAAGAGCCGTCCTAAGCAAATGTCTGAGTCTTTCCATTTTTCTTTGTAGGGAAGCCAACAGCGTAGTTTCTTCCAAAAGAGACTCCCGGTGTCACAGTGCTGTTAAGACGAAGTTAATTGCTTTCCTGGCAAAATTCGGCTGTGGCGTCGCGTGAAGACTACTGCCTCTGGTTCTGAGATCGCAGTTTCGAGTGCGGTTGGAGGTAGTTAGAGTAAGGTAAGGTAGTTAGAGTAACCTAAATACTCAAATACCATAAAATATAAATGTATTCTTTTAGTGCAATTTAAAAAATTACAATAAAAAAATAAATAAAAAATCATCCAACCTTACATCTCTGGATTAGCACTCCAAAGCTTTGCTCTGTCGGCTATTGCGACTGTTTGAGTGGCGCGAGCAACATGACATACTTATTCCTTTAACGGAAGTTAATTTTTCCTAAGAAGAAAGAAAATAGTACTGAAAAGTAAGGAATTGTGTTTTCCGTAAACTGGCTTAAATCTTACTCATATTAAGGCCGCCATGTCTTTGGAGCCATTTCAAGGTAATATTTCCTTAGAATAATATACTTTTTTCCTAGCATCAAGGAATGTTTTTCTGAGTGTACACCTTTCCTTTCTCGGAAAAAATGTATGTTTAAGGTTAAAAACTAATTTTTTGGTAAAGAAGCTGTCTTGCGATGGTTGAAAGCAAAATTATCCGAAAACCATCTTGGGTCAATCTAGGTCAGAAGCCTTTGTATCTTTTCACAGATTTCCCTGAGATATTTTCCCATTCAACACTGCCCTAGCAGACCTCATTGGATTTATTTGAGTTGGTGAGAATATTACTTGGCTCATCCGACTATTCTACGTTCGGACGCAAAACGGACTGTATTTCAATGTTAAAGTAAGCTGTAAAGCAAATAAATGCATTTTTATGGTATAAGGCTCCAGAGAGATGGAGAGATTTCTTGTTTAAATAACTAAGAATTGTTATACAATAATTGCAATGGTGTCATCAAAATATTTTCATACGTATACATACAACTATTTAATCCAATTTTGTAAAGGGGGAATCTTAAGATTTACATAAAAACTCGCTGGAGAGTTTCACACATCATAAAAATAAATGAAAACTCCTTTAATATCTGAGAATTTGTTTAAGCAGCTGTTTTCACACAAACAACGAAACAAATAAGAAATTAAAAACCAGAATCGTTAGCGGCAAACGGGTGAGAAAAAGTCCTTTGGGATGCAATAAAGCATTAAACAACAACAAATGCAAAGAGCGAACTACACTCACCGACTCCTATCAAAACCATCAACACGAGAAAACAATAATGATTGTAGGAGCAACGCCAACAACAACAAAAAAACAATAACAAAAACATTGAAACTGCCAATAACAACAATGATGATATACTTATAGAAGTTTGTGGGATGTATGCACATATTTGTGCACATATTTGTGTGTGTGCATGTCAGATTGTTTGAGGGCGGCTGCGTGAATGAGTGAATCGACTTGGTAACATGCGGCTGCAGCAAACAATAAAAATCAAATAAACACTTTGCGCCCCTACATACATACTTATGTATTTACTTGTGCACATTAGGGTGGTCCAAAAATGCATGTGAAAAAGTAAAGTCGGAATTTTAATGCCGCTACCCCCTTGGATTGTTCCATAGTGAAAAATATATACCCCTATTTTTTATTTTAAAATCAAAAAATATTTGGGTAGTGCTCGAAGCGATAAAAGTTTTGCATATATTTTATATGGGGGAAAAAACAACTTTTCTTAGAAATGGTACAGAATTTCTGAAAATCAATATTTTTTTTTTTTTTTGGAAAACTGTGGTTCTCTTCAGGAGACTTCCATTAATAATACCCAATTGTTTATTAAAATATTTTTTGATACTAAAGATTTTTTATTGGTCCCCGCATTGCATTTTCAGAGGTTTTGGCCGTTTTTGGCGGACCTATAAAATATTTATTAATACTATAAAAAAAATGGTTAAAAGACTCCTGAAGAGAACCAAAGTTTTCCGATCGTTAAATATTAGGGCAATTCATATAAACACGTAAATGCCTCGCAAGCACGAAAACCTTGTAAAATTACTTAATCTTGTATGGAAACCTGGTTTGTTTACGAGCTTTATACGGTTACGAAGCATTTACGCGTTTAGATGAATACCCTGCATGATTATAAAGAATTTTACACCATTTCTACGAAAAGTTGTTTTTTCCCCATATAAAGACATGAAAAACTTTGAGCGCTTTGAGCAGTCCCTTAGTATTTTTCTAATTTCAAAATAAAAAATAGGAGTATATTTTTTTGGTATAGAACAATCCCAGGGGGTGGCGGCATTAAAATTCCGACTTTACTGTTTTGGATCACTCTAATGCACATCCATACATAACGAACAACAAACCACATCAATATGGGCGGTAGCAACTGCAACTTCAGCTAGAAGAGTTGTAATAACAACAAC